ACCCATTTTATCTATCATTAAAGTACAAAAAACCGCCCATTTCCCAAATTTGGTACCCAAAATTGTGGTCAAAAATTTGGGAATTTTTCCCAAATTTTCCCACACAAACTAAAAAAGATCCAATTTAAAAAATAGGGCCGAAAAAACAAGTAACTTTCTTGGCACTAAAAAAACATATCCCTGTTCATTAGTCACTCTCTGGGCCCCCTTATTTTATTATTGTTTTCTATTTTTTTTTTTTTCATAAAAAAAAAAATAAAAAAAAAATTTATGTTATTGCAACACTCATTATTGAAAAAAAGTTAAAAAAATATCAGTGCACTAGTAAAAAGAATATTAGATCCCCGTTGACATGTATTGGACTGTGGGGTGATTTGTTTTACCCCGAACATTGTTAAAAAATCGAACTTTTCCCGTATTTTAGCCTTTTTTCAAGGCGTTTTTTCACATAAAAGTAATGAAATCATCTCTTTTTCTAAAAATATTTTTTTTCCATTTTATCACCTACGACCATAAAAACGCAAATACATCATAAATACTATACGAAATACACCTCAAAGCGCGTTTTAACCCAAAAAAACGATCAGTTTTTTTTTCTCTTACGCATTTGGTGCTGCAGGATTTTTTTTATGTGGTCCCCAACCACACACCCCCATTCCTCACATTGGGCCTACCAGTTTTCTCCGCTTGATTTGAAGCCGTTAGAATTATTGAGTATATAACGTAAAAAACACTGGCGCGAAACTACAGGTCTCCCCACATTCACGTTTTAAAATTTACGGGCTTCCAATTCGGAATTCCCAAAACCCCAAATTTCCAGCCACCAAATTCCAAAACCGCCAAACATATTTAAGTTTCCCCCCACCTGCGATCCCTCTACCCTCCCCCGACCCCCCAACTGGGGCCACCCCCCACCACCAGTGTGGGAGTTTTGTTTGTTCATTATTTTCTATTAAATACAGAAAAAAAAGTAAACCCCTTCATGACTGCAAATTGGGAAAGGGGTATTTGGACAGGATTGACGGACATCATGTGTTTACTCTTGAAATGAAAGAATTAACATTTTCTCTACAGCTAATAACAATAGTAAAAAAATAATAATAATAATTTTTTTTTTTTTTTTTTTTTTTTTAACAAGTCGGGGGGTCTCCACCGGGCAGGGGGACCAAAAAAAAAAGAAAATCCCCCAAAAAAAAAATACTTTCAATCATTCAAAAACCCTTTACCACACTCCACATTACACTGTTTTTTAGAGGTCTCAGAATACAAAAAGTCTGAAGCATACCCTATAAAGATACACAACATATCCCTCCAAACTGCAATAATAATAATAATAAAATAATAAAAAATAATAATAATAATAATAAAATAATAAAATAATAATAACAAAAACAATAATAATAATAATAATAATAAATAAAAAATTAAAAAAAATAAAAATAAATAGATATAAAATTTAAGAAGGGAAATTTTACAAAAATATAGGGGGTGGTTGACACATCGCAGGTGACTGTGTTTATACTGGATAAACATTAGTCTCCCTGTCTTCTAAACATTTCACAATAATTCTTGTGTTTGGGGCTTTAATTGGTGTGAAGAGTGGGAGAGGCAGGTTGAGGCAATGGTATTTAAAACATACATTTATTAATAATATGTACATTATTTTTTTTAACATGTTAAATAAGAAAAAATTTAAAAAATCATGTTTTTAATAAAACAAAAAATAAAAACAACTGGTACCAGCCCTCCCCCCCCCCACTCACTCACTCAGTCAGTTCCAGCCACTGTGGAGTCGGTCATTGCTGTTTGTGTGGTTGGGGAAAGTATGTCTCATGCCCTGCAGTTTTCAAATCCATATAAACAATTTCCCTTCAAAATTCCTCAGTAACTGCATTAATATCAATGGAAATAAAGAATTATAATTTAAAATTTTTTTAATCATCACAAGTCATCGAGTTCGTCTCCCTTTCGAGTGGGGATGTTTTTTTTTGTTCATTATTTTTAAACTACAGTTAAATAATGTCAAATCATTCATGACTGCTAAAAAATAATAATAAAAATAAAATAATAATAATAATAATAAAAAAATAAAAATAAATACGAGGGTTGAAGCAGTGGGTGGTGAGGCATCGTCGTCAGTATGGCTTCTTTTGCTGGATGAGATTATCCCCTGCCTCTTCCAAAAAATTTTACAATAATTCATTGGTTTGGTGCTTTTTGATTGACGTGACTGCTACAAAATTTAACCCAGGGGCCCCCAAAATTAAATTTGGAAAGAAACTGAAAGCACGAAAGAATTTTGAAGAAAGAATTATATAAAAATAAGGCAGTGGTGAGCAGTTCAATATTTAGATTTTCTAGGTACGTTTTTATGATTGTTCTTTAGAACAAAGAAAGGACGAACACTGCAGTAGACCTTTTGGGCCCATACATTCAGGCCTTTCACAAATCCAGCCCAATAACAAATAAAGCCCCCAAGCAATAACTTTGAACATTTATTTACTTCGCAGCAAGACCCATTAAATCCAACCACCTCCACTTGTGTATTTACCCAAACCCTAAATGTAAGCCCCCCAAAGGGGTTTATTTTTGTGGGACCTTGGGTAGCTTTAAAAAAGAGTTTTGGACAAATATAGAGTGGGGGAGCAGTACGTATATACAGTATATACATAGATTATTTTTTTATTTTTTTATTATTTTTCCCTGCAATATATTGGGGCCCCAAACTTTCGCGATTTTCCAACATTCAGGGGGCTCTTGATCCCCTAACCCCCGGAATGTTGGGGGGAGACCTGTATATATAACCAAAACAATCAAGGGGTTAATGAAAAAATTTGGGTTTTGATATATGAGCAAACAAAATTACAAGCTAGGTACAGATTTAACCCCCCAAGTCGGGTTTTTACTGTCCTTTTCTAGCTCAGCACTGTCCTTCTACATGAAAACAATTATGTCCCTACCAGTTTTGGGATGATGGGCCCCATTCTTCTACAACCATCAAAGATCGGTTTGGAAAAATCCCACCCCCAGTAACCATTGCAGGAGTCTTATTCCCATTCCATATTATAAATTGATAAAAACAAGGGGGGAGAGATGGCATGGCAAGAAGTTTAAAACAGCACCACGGGAAACATAAATAGCCTGTAACTAGAACGATAAAAAAAATGCTGGTGTCCCCATAGTTTGAATCCCCCTGATGAAGTGGAAAGAACCCAGGTCAAAACCCAAAAAACCACCTGTGACAAGGTACGCCTTGAGGCCACGTATTTGCCACTTCAACACTGTAGTCCACAATCGGGCAGATGCAGCTTTTCAAGTACATGTACCTTGATTTCGGTGCCCCAATTCGAGTTTTCCGAGTTACAAGCCATCGCTGGGTCATTTTTTGCTTTGATTGCAAGCCAAAATTAAAGTTATGACGGCATCAATACACTGCCACAAACGGCGGCGTATCGGGGTCAAATCCACTCTGTACCCAGGGGAATTCAGGTACTTCGCCCACCCCACTTCTCCCCAAGACAAACGGGAAAGGAAATCTCCCCACAATCCAGATTGAAAGTAGGCACCTCACCCCTTTTTTTGGTTTTCCTTTTAAAATCCAGGGAAAGGCAACCTCCATTTCAAACTCAGATTTTTTCCCAAAAACATTAAGGGGGGTGGAGTGGGAAGTTGGGGGGATGTGGGGGTAGGGATGGAGAAGTGATAATGGTGGTGGAGTAGTTTGGTGGGGGGTGAAGTATGAGAGGGTGGGGTACGAGGGGAATGGGGGAGTGTAAAGGGTGGTGGGGGGTAGAGAGGGGGTGGGGGAGGGAGTGAGATGGGGGGGTGGAGCAGTGAAAAGGGGGGATAGATTTGTGGGGGTGGAGTAGATTTTGTGGGGGGAGTAGATTTGGGGTGGGTAGAGAGTGAGGGGGTAGGTATGTAAGATGGGGGGGGGGAAATATAAATGTGCGGGCAAGTAGAGATGTGGTATTGGAGTATTAAAGGGTTGGGGGGTGGGTATACAATATTTCTTATTTTAAATCATTTTTTTTTTTAAAAACCCCGTAAAAAAAAAACGGGGGGTGGTTTTGGGGGGCGGGAAAAGGATTCATGGCATTTAAATTTAAATTAAATGGCAAAAAATTTGTTTGATATATGAGAAAATTGAGTTACGAGCTGGGTCACACAACGAAATTAAACTTGTGTCAAGGTTCACTTTTTGGGCCCGCCTTTGCTACCCGGTTAAGAAATGCAGTGGGTGCCTACTGAATAACCTGCCCCTGAGATTTCAACCGGCCTCTTTTCTATATATATGATAATCTCCACCCTCATTGGATTACAAAGCTTCGTATATAAGTTTTAAAAGGGCACAAATGGTTTAAAACACGCAAAATAAGAGATTCAAAAAAATTAACAAATAAATTTTTTAATTTAAAAAAAATTGTCAAAAATCGGTGACATTATTTCATACAGATGGAAAGCTCCTAGTTACAAGAAATTTCAGGGACTAAACAAAATTCAACAAGGATACAGGAAGTACTGGAGGGAAAACAAGTTGTAAATGGTAGAAAAAATTTAAAAAAAGACGGGACTTCCCGATACATTAGGGGGAAGGGCTAAAATGAGAGTTGTTCGTTTACAGGGCCCCAGCAACCTATTGCAGTACCCCTTCTTTTACAGGTTTTAAAAACTGGTTTGGCGTAACTGTCATTAATTAAATCTAATTGGAGCAGACCCCCCTGCATGACCATTGACCTACGAGTTTACTCTACTCTTTTACATCATGAACTCTAAACTTTTTGGGGTTGTAAAAAACCCCGGGAAATAATAAAAATTTCATATAGGGATACAGTTTATAATTTCGTAAGTACAAAAATATTCCCCATGTATGAATAGACATCCTACTTTTTTGCCCTTAAATTGGCCCCCAAAACTTCGGCCACACCAATAAAATATGGCAGGGTTTTATTTTCTAGCACAAAACCCAAAAAAACAAAATACATATAGTATCATTTTACCAAGTTTGGGAAGGTATTTCAATCTAAGTTTTCGGGGCCAAACCCCCAAAGGGGGGTCATGACAAGGATGAGGGACAGACATTGCAGATTTTAATAAACATTCAAAGCACACAAAAAAGAACCAAAAATAAGATTAATACTGCACATTAAGACGTTGACTACAAATAGTGTGTTAAGGATTTTTTTCCCAGTTTCTCTTACCTGAAAAAAGAATCTCCCCCTCCACTTCTGACAAAAAGACCAATGCAAAAGAGGAGACCCCCGGGGGATCCATGCCAGGTAGGTTGATCCCAACAGCCCACTTGCCATTTTTGACATAATCTCAAGGTCAAACTCTGTAAAAAACATCCTGTTTCAAATATAAAAATTTTAAAAACCCTATAAGTGAAAAGTAAACTATATGGTACTAAAAATGGTTTGTACTATACTATAAATTTATTTTGAAAGCACCAAATTTTAAATTTTCAATAGTTTTGTACATTCCAGTTTTCTGATTTAATTTCAGTCATTAACTACAATCTTTTTTATCATACCACACTACACCCCAAAAAAGGGGGATACAAAAAAAAAAAACAAAATTTACCATCCTTTATTCAATAAACCCTCTTGCAGAGTGACAAGCTCAAAATTCAAAGATTCTCCAAAATGCAGCTCCTACAACCCCCCATCAGACTGAAGGACTGTATTCCCACCCTGGACTCAAAACCTGCAAACCCAAATTCTCCGAATCCCTTCAAAATGTTCCTAGTTCCACCCCAACAGCATGGCCCCTATAAACCTACTTGCCCACCCAATCTAACATCATCATAAGTCTGCTGGGTGCCCAAAACCCTAGCCCCCAAAACCCCCTTTACCCCCCCCCCTTTTGACCCTACCTTCCCTTCTTCCATCCAATTTATCCCTCTGGGGCACCAATTGCTCCATCCTCCTAATGACCCCGACCACCTCAATAACCCCTCCTCAACCCTCTGAATTATATTTGAAACCAGAGTTGACTTTTCGACTTTACGATGTAACTGTGACGTCAGAGACGGGGGATTTTAAGATGGTGAAAATGAGTATGTAATTTGAGCCACGAGAATTTTATACATGTAAATTTCTCAAAACATTCCGAATTATCTGCATAATATTCAAAACCCCAAATACAAAATCAAACATGATGCTCCCAAAGATGCAAGCCTCCTCCGCTACAATTTTAAAGCTCATCCTCCACCCATAAAGGTTTGGGACATTATACTCTAAAAATTCCCTCTTTTTTTTTTTTTTTTCCCCCTATAGATAAATACTCCACTTATCTATTTTCAGTAATTATCCTGTACGTGGACCCTCGCCTAATGAACCATCGATAATGTTTAAATCCGCCTAACGAAGGTTTGAGCTAAAAGTTTTCCCCCCTAACGATAAAAACTTGCCCAACGTGATTCTCCGGCCTGTCCCGCTGCCCCACAGGTGCCAGTGTTTACAAGCTAGCCAGCGTGGGCGCTCTGCGCATATATTGGTTACATTTCACATTATCCCCGTGTATTTAGTGCTGGTAACTCCAAAAAAATCCCATGGACCCCAAGAAAGCTTTTTAGGCCAACCTTGTGTTTCAAAGGCAGAATTGATGGAATTGAAAAAAAAAAATTAAGGAAATTTGCAAAGTGGGGGGAACTGCAAAAACCTTTTTGGAAAAATCCCCAAAGCTATTGCAAGCGCGCTGGGACTATTACAATAACAGTTGTGGCCCATTTTGGGGAATCTTCAAGGAAAAGTGAGGTACAGAGCTCTGTGGAAGATCTGGTGCGACAGGGTGCGGTGACTCCAAAAAAGGTCCCCATTGGCATTAAAAGAAGGGGAAAAATAACCCCGGAAAAAAGGGTTTACCTAATCCTTTGGAAGGGTTCCCCTTCCAAATAATAACAAAACCCCCACCCTCCCCCCCTCCCATCCCTCAATCACCCAGATCTCAATAAAAGGGAAGTGTCTGTTTCTTTATTTAGTAAGTATAATTGTGCATGCTTCTTTTTGGGGGTTTTAAAAATTACATTTATGGGTAAAATTTTTTTTTTTATACTTTGGGGGGGTCAGGAAAAAGGTTAAATTTTTATTTCCATTTTTCTTATGGGGAAAAAATTAATTCGGTAATAGAGCTCTCAGGAAAGGTTAAAATCGTTAGGCGAGGGACATCAAAAAGAATTTTTTGAAAAAATGGCCTCAATTTTTAAAAGACTTTTGGGAAAAACAAGACAAAAATCTACGTTCAGTCAAATTTAGCAAAAAAAAGAAAGTACATGGTTACAGAACTGACCCCTTCATTTTTTACAATCACAGCAGAACAAGCTTACTTCTGCATTACAAAAAAAATATGACCCACCCCGCCCCCTTTCCCCATTTTAAAATTTGGGGTTGTGTATTTTTTTTTGGTAGTAGGTTGTAGACGCAACCACCCCGGGGGTACTACCGTCCGCAGATGCTGTAAACAAAAAACCCGTAACTGTTTTTCATATGGAGGATTGTGGGGGCTTTTTTCTGTTCATAAACACGCTAGATAACAGGATATCTTTCTACTCCCACTTACACTTTTGGGCACACTTCACAGACACGCACAGCTAAATTACATCATCTAGGTTTTTCTCCTTTTTCTAATATCTTGTTCTTCTTGTTTCTTTTATTTTCCATGGGGGAAGTGGAAAAGAACTTTTCCCCCGTAAATGTGGCGTAGAGGCGACTAAAATGCCCGGGGGCGATGGGGTAGTAACCCCCTTCCCCTGTAGAATTTTCTAAAAAAAGGAAGAAGAAAAACTTTATGAAAGTGGGGTCTTGAATGTGCGTATGTATGCAGATGAAAAAGAAAAAGATATGCTGAGTTATAATGAAAAAAAGTTGGATGTCTGCCCCCAAACGAAACAAAGCTGAAGGGGGGAGGGGGTTTCAGTGGGGGGGGAATAAAATGGGAAAAATCTGGGGTACTGAAGAGTTTTGAGTAAGAAGGGGTCCCCTAATGTTTTAAGGATCATTTGGAAGGAGAAAAGAGAATACAATGTGTAAAAACAAGGTTATGTGGATTAAAAAATTTTTGTGCGAAAATGGGCATAATAACGTGTATGAACTGGAGAAGGGGGAAGTAGGGGAGAGAGAAGATTTTGGGAGATGTTAAGTGAATGTATGGGAACCCTTTTGAACCAAGTGAAGTAATTGTGGTGGGGGCCGAATGCAAAAGAGGAAAAACCCTTTAGAGAGGGTGGGTGGGTAATTTTGGGGGTGCCAGGGTAAATGAAAAGGGAAAGCCCTTTGTTTTGAACTTTTATGAAAGGGTTTAGTTAAAGGTAATACATATTTTAAGAAAAAAAGGGTAAAAAAAATAAAAATATGATGAGGGCAAAATGACAGTAGTTTGTTGGATTTTATATTAGTAGATAAAATGTTGAGTAGACTTTAGGATGTACATGTTTTTAAAAGAGGGGCCACAGATTATTTAGATCACTTCTTAGTTGTACTACCAGAGAAAAGGGGAGATGGGAACAAGGAGAATAGAAGCATCAGGGAAAAGAGGTGAAGGTTTTTAAACTAAAAAAGGAGGAGTTAGGGGGAAAATATAAAAACTTTGGAGGATGATGGGGAAATGAGAGCATAGGCAATGGGGGCGAAGAGGTATGGGGTAGGTTTAAAAATTAGGTTAGAGGGTTTTAGCAAAAGTTTGTGGTTACAGGAAAGTGGGTGCGGGAGGGGAAAAAGGATTGGGGGAATGAATAAAAAAGAGAGTAGAAGGGAGAAAAATTTAGCATATGAAATTTTTTTCAAAGTAGAAGTGAGCAAGGAGGGAAAGATATGGAGAAAAAGAATTTGAGAGTGGTGAAGAAAAATAAAAAGAAGCAAAAAGAGAGAGTGGGTGAGATGTTATCAAAAAATTTTTTTGAAATAAGAAAAAGTTTTGGAGTGAATTAACAATTAAGGAACCCCCGAGAACAAATGGATTTGCAGTTAAAATAGGAGAGGAAGTTTTTAAATGCAGAGTTAGAGGGATTGGAGGAGGAAGGAAAATTTTTAGGAAATTTTTAAATGTTGAGAAGATAGGGAAGCTATGATTTCGTGTATAGGGCAAGGAGGGGAAAAACTCTTTTAGGGGTGAGGAAGAGCCATTAGAGTGTGGGGGGAAATTTTTGAGGCATTTTGTAAAAAGAAAGGGGGGAAAGGGACCCGGGTTGAAGGGGTAAAATTAAAAAGTTACAAGCGGTGGGGATATAGTTTTTTTAGTGGGGTTTGCAGTTATTTTTAAAAAAGTATGGAAGAAGGGAAGTACCTAGGGGTTGGCGAGAGCATGCATAGTTCCTTTTTTATAAAGGCAAAGGGGGGCAAAAAAGAGTGCAAAAAATTTTAGGAGGATATGTCTGTTATATACCTGGGAAAAGTGTATGGTAGAGTTTTATTGAAAGAATTAAGAGTAAGACGGAGAAAGGATACGAGAAACAAGGAGCTTTAGGAAAGGTAGGGGGGGTGTGGGCCCGGTTTACAGTGTAACATAAATTGAACAATATTTAGAAAGGCAAAGAGGGTTTTTTTGGCATTTATGATTTGGAAAAGGGTACGACAGGGGGAAGAGGGGGAATGTGGCAGATTTGCGGGGTTTGGTGTAGAGGTAGGTTACGAAAGCAGTAAAAGTTTTTTGAGGATATGAGGGCCCAATTAGAGTAGTAGGAAAAAAGGGGGGATTTTTTCCCGTAAAAGTAGGCCCTTTGACAAGGAGTGGGAGCACCGTGGTTTTTAATAATTTTTTGTGGGGTTTAAGAGAAATAAATGCAAGGGCTTTGGGAAAGGTGGGATTAAAAGATAAAGAATCACCAAAGTGGGAGTTTCACAGTTGCTCTTTGCTGATGACACTGGCCTTGGAGATTCTGAAGAGAATTGCAGAGGGTTGGGGGATGAATTTTTGGTTATGCAAAAAAAGAAAATTAAAAAATGAATACAGGAAAGAGTAAGGTTATAGGTAGAAAAAAAATTGGGGATGAAAGATTGGATATCAATTTGAGGGAGAGAGTATGGGGAGGTGAATTATTCGATATTTGGATGGACGTGTCAGCGGGTGGGGTCTATAAAAGATGAGGTGAAACATAGAATTGATGAGGGGAAAAGGGTGAGCGGTGCACTTAGGAGTCTGTGGAGACAAAAAACTTTGTCCTTGGAGGCAAAGAGGGAAATGTATGAGAGTATAGTTTTACCAACGCTCTTATATGGGTGTGAAGCATGGGTGATGAATGTTGCAGCGAGGAGAAGGCTGGAGGCAGTGGAGATGTCATGTCTGAGGGCAAGTGTGGTTAAATTATAATGCGAAATTTCGTATTTTGGGAAAAAGTTA